TCTATTCTATTCTATTCTATTCTATTCTATTCTATTCTATTCTATTCCATTCCATTCCATTCCATATTGTATGTGCCTGATATGTATCTTGAAGATTTACAGCTAAAATCTGAAGGAATCATAACTTTTTTGCCCTTCTCTATTGTCATCAACACATTTAATTCTTTAATCTTAATAAACATGATCAAAGTCTTAAGCTTATTAATATCAAAAAGTACTATAAAATTATCTTTAAAGTTATGTGATAACAGAGTGTGTACAACATTCGCAATCCAGGGCTAAGCCATTTAGAAAATTCCAGAGCATTTTATTTCTCTCCAAACCACTTAGTGATGGAAATTCTGGTCCCAATTAAGGACTATCTGTAAACCATCTCTGCTAATCAAAATGAATTTTCTGGTTGAAACTGGGTCAATTAAAAGGTTTTTAAGATAAAAATATTGTACTGGTATCAAAGAGTGATACTTAGCTAAATACATTGCTGCTTTGATTAGAAGTCAATGCCAGAAATCCAATGTGGTTTAGTATCAATAGCATGAGGACATTCAATTTCTTCCTAGAATATGATGCTGTCATTGGTGGTACATCTCTTCCCTATGTTGACGATTGGTAGGGATCCCTGGCATGTAACTGAGTCTTTTGCAGTGAAACCTGCATTTGCTTAAATGCTTTTTAAACCCTCAAAAACTTAAGTTCAGGTCTGGGGACAAATAGGGATAAATGCAACCTTCTTGGAGGTTTTCAATAGAGCAGAGCAGAACAAAACAATTTATTTGGCCAAGTATGGTTACATACGCAAGGAATTTGTCTCTGATATAGAAGTGCAACTTGTTTTCAATTAAAGTTTCACATGCTCTGAAAAGACTTTTCCCTGATCAAAGGCAACCTATGATACAATTGACATTCTAATTCCTAAATTATATTATCTCCTGGCTAGGACATACAAACCTCTAGCTGTAAATTGAACACTGCCTAAGCTGGAATCAGCCTGAGGACTGCAGCCTTTTCCTAATTATTGATTCTTTGTCTATCTCACCAAAAATGAAATCAAACAGCTGTAAAACCTGGCAAAAACCTGGCAAAAGAGGTGATATAGCTGCTGTTATCTCCTGCAGAAACTTTTCTGAGAAAGCTATTACCAAGCTTTTCTGAGAATGCTATCATCAGATGACCAGCTGTCATCTGAATGTTTTGAAATATCTTCCCCCTCCTTAAGAAATTTGCTGTAGACGCTAGGAATGCTAAGATAGTGTTTATTAAGGGAACCTGAGAAAATCAAGGACTTTCAACAGGAAAATGCATAGAACTAAAGAATTGGATCATTCAAATATTAATAGTTCACAAAAAATTTCCAAAAAGGAAAACAGAAAATCCTAGGCTGCCTTAATGACTTGAGCTTTATTTTGAAGAAAGAAAACCAGCATTTTCGAACTGTATAATTGTATCTGGTCAATTGTCAATCTCCTCCTAGACCAGTCACTTACTTTCTTTCTGCTTAGAGGAATGAGGGAGGCTGAACCTTCACAAAATGACTGTGGGACATGAAAACTAAGCAGACTGGTGCTCTAGAAGGACAAAACAGTGGATTTGTTTTTAAGGGACAGAGGAATAAGGCTATTGTAATCATAAAGGTTGGGGAAGAATACTTAGAGGTTGAAAACCTGTGACACTTACAGTACGTGATGCTTATCTGTAAAACTGAACTAAACAGTACTGCTAAAGCCAAAAGGGGAAATGGGTAATTTCCAGGATTTTTGCTACCAGGATGGAAACCATTGGAATTAACTTTTGATTCTTCCCAAACTTAAAAAGTAAAGCTCCAACTTCATTGGGGAGGGGGGGGGCTTTTCCAGAATTATAAGCCTAACTCAATTTTAGCACTCCAGATGAAGCAGGTTGCTACTGATCTTAAGTGATGGAGAGATAAGCCATCTAATCTGCTTAGGTTCTGTCCAATTCAGTTCCCTGGAGAAGCATTTGTTTCTGACTAAAAGAAGAATATGGTATGTAGCCAACATTTCTGCAAATACAGCTAAATATTTTTGAGAAGAGAAAATACACCAAGGCAGGTCGTTATTCTACCAATACATTTGAATTCATTCCCTTTAGAAACAATCTTTTTTCCCAAGATTTTTATTTGTTAGAAAGTTGCTACATAATGCTTAAATCAAATCTTTAACACAGTTACAAAGACCAATAATGCTAAACATTCTCTTGCCTCACTCTAGATAATGCAGCATTCTAATATAAATTAGAACATTGAACATCCTTTTATTGCAGCAATGCTTGAAGATTCTTCAGCCAAAAAGCCCTAAACTGAAGCATAGCTACTACTGAGCCATATTTTCTTGTACTTCTCATTAATGTCAATGGTAGTTGGACAATGTCTAAATATAATGAAATACAAATACATACTTCGATGTTCAGCAACATGCTGTACTAAACTCCATCATCCTACTCTCACTTTGATGGACTTTTCAGGTACTAGTGAACTGTGACAAATTACTTGGGTTCTTCATAGGTATGCACAAAATCTATCATTTCAGGAATGGAACATTCTGGAAAGTTCTGAACTAATCTTTTCTAACCCATGCCATTCCAGGAGTCATTAGGCAGTTTTCATGAATGGGAGGCTCTGTATATCCCAAGTTCTTATTGAATCTTATCATGCATTGGTTCTTTGGTTTAACAAAGAACAAATCACATAGAAATCACCAAAGTAACTTAAGTATCAAATTTTAGTAAGCATAATTTACAGCTATTGTTAGTATTCATTAGGTATAACAATAGCTATAACTATGGAGCAAGGATTGTCTTGTAACAAGCACGTGCAACTTCTCAACATGCAATTGAGAAGTTGCAGGAAACTAAGTTCCTGAAGTAATATCTTATCTCCCTTGGAAAACTACCAAGTAGTTCTTATCATTTTCATGGATGCATGCTCTATTCCAATTCATTCCAACCCTTTCGTGCATTAAATTGAAATGTAAACAAATTACATAAAACCATCCGAGATAATATGTTTACCATATTTTCTTTCAAAATAAGCATTTTCAACCAAAAACTACATCAGGACATTTGAAAAATACTAAAAGTCAATGTGGTTACAGATTCCAATCTGTATTGGTCTTAAGAGCCTTTGTCTGAATAATTTTTAAACTATTAAACTGATTTTAAAGGTATTCTTAAAGCTGCAAGCTTTATGACAAATAGATTTTACTGTCAACAGATTAATAAAATTACTGTTCTCTCCCATTTCCTATTATTTCATCTTGATTTGGAAAGAAGTGTACCTAGGTAAAGCTCCTACTTCATTATAATACCTAAGTTTAGCAACATATAAATAACTAATGAACATAACTTTTAGATCACATTGATGAACAATTTAATAAAATCTAAAGGAATTCAAAGCAATAGAAAACAAAATATTAATATAGCTTTGTAATACAACTCCCCCCATCACAAGAGTCAGGAGAGATCAAATCAAATACCAAAGGAGTCAGATTAGGTTCCCCAATATTATTTTCATTTTTTGTTTCTCTGCTACGTGAGGAAGAACGACGTTTATGTTTTGCTGGTCGACCAGGTGAACGAGATCTAGAGCCCGATCTAGATCTGCTACCACTGCGTCTCGATGGAGAACCTGAGGAAGAGCTGCTTTTTCTAAATCGAAAAGATGACACAGACTAGAAAAAAACCAAATAAAATTATTTTATTACAGCTTAACTTGCTAGCAGTAAGTATTGATATCTATTTTTTCATTTAAAAGCAGTACATTATTTTAAATAACTTAAGTTCCAGAAACATCGTTTAAAAGGGTTAATATAATAAACTGATAGGAAAATGCAACAACTGATTCAGAAAACATGATTTCTAATAACTCTGGCAATATATGAGCAATATATTGATACCCATCTATAAAAGTATGTAAGAAATCCATGCCCAATCATAACCTTCAAAAATTAATATGAATTTTATTAAAGACTGTTCAGAAACATGGTATTTGCCAGGGATGCCCATTTCCCCCTGTACTTTTTAATTTACTCTTAAAATGATTAGAGATACAACTTCATCTGTATGGGAAGATCTATATCTTCCCATACAGATGAAGTAAAGGTTGATTCTTAAATATAAGATTTTTCTTTTTGCCATTAATATGTTCATTATGCTTAGTAATTGTACTTCCCCGTTACAATTACTAATGAATGAAATTCGGTCATTATTTTTATTCTAGATAAAAGATTACTTGGGGTAAATCTAATTTATTTCCTTTAGCGTCAAATGTCACACCAGAATAATGATACATACATAAGATTTGTGAGTTTTACTAATTTTATTAAACATTTAGAGATTTATATTCCTAAAAATATTTGAAAATTTATCCAAATTAATACATCTACTGTACTTTTTTTACACATGCTTTTACACATACTTTTACTCCACCGTAATTTTACACATATTTTTACTCCACCTTTTTTATTTTTTATGAATAATTCAATTGATGAACTCCTTCCTCCTATTTTCCTAGCAACAACTCTATGAGGTGGGTTAGACTGAGAGAGCATGACTGGCCCAAAATCACCCGGCTGGCTTTAAGATATCTTTGACTTGTTAGGGCATAATAAATATAATTAAAATGAATATAACTTCTAGGGTTGTGTGTATTGTAGGAGCAACAACCATCCATGAGGGAAATGGGTGGTTACAAAGTTTGATATATAAATAAACAATCTTTATTCCAAAACAATATTTTGGTCAAATTGAGCTTATGCTTCTATTGTCATCTTCTTCCTAATGCCATTTTTTGATTATTATTAAATCGTACATTGACAAAATTGAGAAAAATTATGGCTTTTAAATATATGACTATTCTGCTGAATTACATTATATACAGACTACTTAAAATGTAATTATGGTTTTAAAAAAAACTTTTCATGCTCCAATAATACCAAACAGAATAGTTCTTATGAGATGAAAAAGCACCTAAAGACTGGATTTCAGAAAATGTAGGATTTAGTAGTTCTAAGAAAATTATTTGTTTGGTTAATTAGAAAATATCACATTATCTTTCTCTTTGGAAAATATTATTGGAAAGTTTAGGGCAACATTGAAAGATTAGGGGGTTTATTGTTTTAAAAAAGATTTACACAATCAGATGAATTCAGGTTATAAGCAGAGATTTTTCTGTTCTTGTCATGCATTTTATTGTGCAATATTTCTCACTATTGTTTTTTTTGTGTATGGAAAATTGTTCATTTTTATTATACATTATTTTATGTTTGTTTGAAAATGAAGAAACAATATATGGCAATTAGAAAAGAAAACATAGGAAAATGAATAATAATTGATGAATATAATTAAATAGTGAATTGTGAAAACAGAAAAATTTTCAAGATCAATGGTAGAGTATTTTTCATGGTACTTTGTTTTAAAAAATTGAGGGTTATCTTATCTGTAGATGAACCATTCAGTGTACAATACAAGTACAATTCAATGTAATTGTGAATGTTTATATGTATCGGTATGTATATATTCCATGAGTTCAAATTTTATTTATATTGCTTAAACAAAGTTTTATATTTTCACACTTCACTATGTGATTCCAATATTTAATAAAGAGCTGGTATGCATGAATATACCGCAATCTCTTTATTTAATGAACCACAATTGAACAGACTTTGGATTTTATAGACAAAACCTAACATCTGGATAGCTGTTACATTTGATGTCATGTGGCCCTAGTCAGTTGGTCTGTTTCCTGTCTCCAGGAGATCCTCTGATTTGTAGATTGGCCTAATCTATTAGGTTGGCTGACTGTTCTAGCTCTGAAGCTCCTCTTCGGCTTAGAAACTAGTTTTCATTTGGCTCCTTAGCTCTGACATTTCTTTGGTACATCAACTTTATCAGCTACCAGATCAATTTTTTCCTCTCATATACAAAACATGTTTTTAAATCAAATATTTGATTTGATATGTTAGAAACATTTAACTTGAATAGATACCATTTTCTCTATTAGGTTGTTAAATCTAGGTTTTGCTATACTGAACAGCTAAAATTCTTATATACAAAAATAGAACTGATTAGAACATTAAATTTAATTTCCTTGGAGTTGCAAAGTAGATTCAAAAGCAAAAGTAGCCATAAGGTTTCTTTCCAAGTGAATTCTTTAGTTCATCAGTTTTGTGACACTAATTCAGAGTATGGTCCATTTGGGGGAAAAAGGTGCTTCAAAACTTTGCAAGAATCAAATGCAAAGTCAGAAAACCTATGTATAATAACAATTACTGGACATCTGCAGATTTTAAAATGCCTCTGGAAAGCAACTGAACTAATCCCAAAATGATGTGCATCAGATTTACCCAGATAATTTACCCTATTAGAGCAGGGAGGAATGTTGTGGGTCCCATCCCTGAGAGAGATTCACCTGGTGGGACCCAGAAGAAGGGCCTTCTCCGTGGTGGCTCCATCTCTCTGGAACATCATTCCTCAGAGATTAGAATGCCCCCATCTCTAATAATCTTCCAGAAAGCACTGAAGACCTGGTTCTGCCAGTGGGCCTGGGGAACCAAGAGCGGGGTGGAGCCCATCAAATGGTTCTTGTGATCTGCTTTCGTCGGGGCAGGGGGTGGGAGTTGGGGGTGGTTGTTTTATTTTATTTTTTTCCAGATTTTATTCTATTGTACTTTATTAATTTATTTGATTCTTTTTGTTTGTTTTTACTGTTTTTTATTTTAAATATGGTTTTCCATTCTGTAAGCTGCCTCGAGTCACCGAACAGGCGGCAATATAAATTCAATAAATAAATAAGGCAACTGAACATTTGTAACCTTTCAAATACAGAGATTAACTCCCATCATATATGACTTTGAACAAACTGATAGAACACAATATTATCTATAGAATCAGAACTTGCCCACATTTTGCTTCACAAAAAAGAAACACTTTTAACATTGTGATACTTTAAAGAAATAATGCTTCCCAGAAAAATGTATGTGTGGGTTAGTATTAGAAGAAATTCTGATGAGTTTAAACTTGGACAGAAGACAGCAGGCAACAATCAGAGAAGCTTGCTCACCACGACTCTTCTTTCTTTGCACATAGGGCCATAACTACTAACTGCTTTGTTGGACTGATTCTAGAAATGTATCAAAATTTATTGTATTTTATAGCTTGTTAGCTGCTTTGGGAGCATTATCATAAACAGGGAAAGATAATAACAATAGCACCTTCTGCTTCACAGTGTTTTACAGCCCTCTCTAAGTGTCCAGAATCAACATATCGCCCCCAACAATTTGGGTCCTCATTTTACCCACCTCAGAAGGTTGGAAGGCTGAGTCAACCTTGAGCCTGGTGAGATTTGAACTGCCAAATTGCAGGCAGCCAATAGTCAGAAGTAGCCCATAGTACTGCACTCTAACCACTGCACCACCGTGTCTAATGATTTGAATTATATATAATAAACTTAATTTTGGGAAATGTATGCAAAATTGTTTATCATTGACAAAAGCGTCACAAGAAAGCTAACCAACACTTTATATATTTACTGATTCCAAAGGTTGCTTACCCTCATATCATTTTCTTTCAGATTAAGTTCAGTTCCATCTTCGTATTTAACTGTATAAAGACGTGTATGTTCATCATAACTGATTACTTTTACTTCATAGTATAACACACTTCCAGGCCATCGGCCCATTACCACTTCTTCATCCGCAAACTTTCTTCTGGCCATTTTTCAACCAATTCTAAAAAGAAAAATGTTATATGTGTGCATGGAGTAATAAATTACGTTTCTCTTTTTAAAAACTGTGGACGTTCAAGTTCTATTTTAACTTCTGTTTGGTACATTGGGAAAATAAAGTTACATTTTGAACAGAACAGGCACCTAAAAATCAAGCAAATAAGTAAATCATTATTCCCTCCAGTTGAATGAGGGGAACGAAAAAGACACTTGAATACTGGTCAGATTAACTGGTAAAGTGTACAGCAATTAAAGGATTGGATGTGGATTCGATTGTTCCTACTTCAAATAACCATGTGAAATTATGAAATTAAACACAATGTGCAAACTCTGATCTATATAATAACCTGAAACTGAAATTACAAACTTCTTCATTTGATTATGTTAAGATTTATTCCAAAATCATAGCAATTCAAGACATACACTAAACTTATCACCTTCAATCTTTGTTTTAGTTGTTGACTAAGATTACAATCACCCTGGGAAGAAAATTTTAAGGTAATTAACAGATTAATAGCAAAATTATAGGGACTACTAACAAAATATAAGAATTAAAGAATTACTAATTATTGGTATGAAAGCTATAAAGACTAAGATACAGCAATGTAGTACAATAAAACAGCAACATACCATCATTTAGAACAAAAAAAAATCATAAGATCAAACAATCTAGATCAGGGGTCCCCAACCCCTGGGCTGCGGCCCATTCAGACCCGGGCCGCACCAGTAGCAGATAAGCACATGTACGCATGCAGCCCTACTCGCACAAGTACTCAACACAAATGAAGCTGTGTATGTGCGCGCATGCCTGCCCTTGTACAAAACCATTCCCTCTTCCCCAAGCTGCCAACCAAGAAAAGTTGGGGAATACTAATTTAGACTATATGTTGTAATAAACTAAGAATTTACATTACTACCAGTATAATGTGGAGTCATGCCCCCCTTAGATAATTAATAAAAGATCTCTTTTCTCCCTGCTTGCTGTATTCAAATTAATTTAATATAACTACATATTGCTACATAACCCAAGTTAGAAACAGCATATGTAAATTTATTGCAAAATTTTGTTCAATCACTATTTATAGTGAAATGGATAGAACTTCATATCACCAAGAATTTCCCTCTGCAGAACTACCTAGTTTTAATGGGCAGAATCTTATCCCATAATAGCTTTGCAAATGACTTATTTTCAGAGTGTATTGCAAAAAATATTCATGACTCCTCTGCTTAATATAAGTGATTTTTGAAAGACCTTTTTATTATGTTCCATGTAAGTCAGATTTTCTTGATGCAAAGGGTATATGCAGAAACCTGCTTTCTTCACCATGTGCTTTATGTAGTAGTATAAGTAATAAGTGAAAGGCCTCTTAGTTCTAGTTCAGTTTTGGGATGCAATGGGATCTTGAAAAGAGAACAAACTTATCATCACAATCAGTTTGCCATACAAACATGTCATCTGTCAGAATCACATTTTAACTGACAAGCTTGAGATCTGCACTCTATAAATATTTGAAATGTTTTTTCCCCAAATGGGACATCACATTTAAAATAGTTCTTAAGCTACAAAATATAAGCAAAAAATTTAACTTCAAAGGTCCTCTTCAAACTGTAAGTGAGGAGAAGGATGTTTGACCTGGTGGAGTTGAAATCAGTCCTATGGCCTGGGGGGCACCAGGAGGGAGAGGAAAGGCCTGTTGGGACTCAAGGCAACTACATCTATATGGAGGGAAATAAGCAGTGGGGTACCACAAGGTTCCGTCTTAGGCCAAGTATCCTTCAATATCTTAATAAATGATTTAGATGAGGAATAGAAGGGGAACTCATCAAATCTGCAGACAACACTAAGCTGTCAGGAATAGCCAACATCCCAGAAAACAAAGCTCAGGATCCAAAAAGATCTTGACAGACTTGAACAATGGGCCCTATCCAACAACATGAAATATAATGTGGAGAAAAGCAAGGATTTACACCTAGGCAGGAAAAACCAAGGGTACAAATACAGATGAGGAAACCTCTTCTCCAGTACCATAGTTCAAAGGCCTCAATTCTTTGGCGTTCAACCTTCCTTATGGTCCAACTTTCACAGCCATACATTGCAACTGGAAAATCCATTGCCTTGAGTATACACACTTTTGTTGACAGAGTGATATCTCTGCTTTATAGTATGCTGTCTAGATTTGCCATAGCTTTCCTCCCTGGGAGCAAGTGTCTTTTAATTTTTTGGTTGTAGTCCCCATCTGCAGTGATCTTGGAGCCCAGGAAAATACAATCTGTCACTACCTCCATTTCTTCCCCATCTATTTGCCAGGAATTGCGAGGGTCGGATGCCATGATCTTAGTTTTCTTAATGTTGAGTTCCAAGCTAACTTTTGCACTCTCCTTCTTCACCTGCATCAAGAGGCTATTAAGTTCCTCTTCACTTTCTGCCATTAGAGTGGTATCATCTGCATATCTGAGGTTGTTGATATTTCTCCCAGCAATCTTAATTCTGATTTGTGATTCATCTAGCCCTGCCTTTGTCATGATGTGCCCTGCATATAAGTTAAATAGGCAGTATACAGCCTTGCCAAACTCCTTTCTCAATTTTGAACCAATCAGTGGTTCCGTGTCCAGTTCTCACTGTCATGAAGCACTAGTACCATTTTAAATAGGCAGTATACAGCCTTGCCAAACTCCTTTCTCAATTTTGAACCAATCAGTGGTTCCGTGTCCAGTTCTCACTGTCATGAAGCACTAGTACCATTTTATAAATCCTTAGTAAGACCAACCTGGAATACTGCATCTAGTTTTAGTTATAAAAATGATGTTGAGATTTTGGAAAAAGTACAAAACAGAGCAAATAATTAAAGGGCTGGAGACAAAAACATATGAAGAACAGTTGCAAGAATTGGGTATGGCCAGTCTGGAAAAAAGAAGGACTGGGGTGACATGATAGCAGTATTTCAAGGGCTGTCACAAAGAAGAGGGAGTCATCTTATTTTCCAAAGCACCAGAAGGCAAGACAAGAAACAATGGCTAGAAACCAATCAAAGAGAGAAGCAACCTGGAATTAAGGAGAAACTTCCTAGCAGTGAGGACAATTAACCAATGGAACAGCTTGCCTTCAGAAGTTGTGGGTGCTTCATCACTGAAAGTTTTTAAGAAGACTTCATAGCCACCTATCTGAAAAGGTACAAGGTCTCCTTCTTGAGCAGGGGGTTAGACCACCGTGTTTCTCCAACAATACGACCTCCCCCAATAGGAAGACCCAGCATGTTTTCTAGGCATAAAATCAAATTAAGCCCCTCTCCCAAATTTAGGCCTATTTTAAAACATGCAAAATGGGGGGAAGGGTGGGGGGACTTGCAGTTAAGAGCACCCCACGGGCAGCAATTCCTCGCCACCAGCTGCTCCTAATGGGCAATCATGGCAGAGCACGGAGAGCCCCCTACTCCTGCCAAGCACCTTTGCGGCCGACCCAAGACCTTCAGTGCCCGCCGCTGTTTATTTCCCTTCTGCCCATGCCGCCGCTGCGTTTGGAGCTGCCACTTCCACATTTGGAGCACAACTGCTGTTTGGAGCACCGCTGCCGTTGGGAGCTGCCGCCGCGTTTGGAGCTGCCACCGTGTTTGGAGCTGCCGCTTCTGCATTTAGAGCACTGCTGCTGTTTGGAGCACCACTGCCAATGGGAGTGCCGCCGCCACTTCAAACATGGCAGCAGCTCCAAACGCAGAAGTGGCAGCTCCAAACATGACGGCGGTGCTCCAAATGGCGGCGGCATTCCAAATGGCAGCGGCACTCCAAACACGGAAGCAGCAGCTCCAAACGTGGCGGCGGAAAGAGCAGAAGGGAAAGCAACAGCGGCGGGTGCCAAAGGTCTTGGGTCTGAAGCAAAGGTGTTTGGTGGGAGTAGGGAGCTCTCTGCGCTTCACCATGATCACCTGTTAGGAGCGGCTGGTGGCGAGGCTGCCCACGGGGCGCTCTAGATGAGGATGCAAGGGGGGGAATTAAGTCACCCCTGAAAAGACGGACTAGCTGTTTTTTCAGGGCTCAAAAAAATATAAGACCCGGCCTTATTTTATGAGAAACATGGTAGAAGACCTCCAAGGTCCCCTCCAGCTCTATTCTGATTGTTTGAAGGCACGTGAAGTGACCATGGGATATCTTGAAAATGGGGGACACCTTGGAAGGACCAGAACTAACAGACCTCAGCCTCCAAAAGCTTCCCCACCAGAAGGCACTCCACACTCCGTTTAATGACCCACACATTCATTTAACATTTCACTGGGGAGAGCAGGGATGTGGATGTCATTGGGTGACATTTCACCTAATGACTGCCGTGTCTTGTGACCATAATGGTTAGGCTTCATTAAGGTTGTATCTCAAGGACCACTTGTACTGTTCATGTTATATATATGGTATGAAGAGCGCCTAGAAAGCATCACTTAGCTATAATAGTTAAGACTTAGCCATTTCTTAAGAGTAAATTCTCAACTACCCTTTCCGATCTTTCCACTTATGGTCCTTCAATGTTTCACTTTAATTATAAAATCAATCATGCATTTTGATTGATACACCTTTTCCATGTGTGTGTCTGTGTTTATTCAAAACAAACAACTTTTTCTAAGCAGATATTCATGAGTCACTATTCTGTTTTATTTTTTGGTCTCTGAATACTTTATTCATTAATTCTGTTTCTTCTTGTCTTGTTACCACCCAACAGTATTACCTGTAATTTTCTCCACCAGATGGCATTTATTTGAAACTTTATTTTTCCCCAAAATCATTTTTGGTATTTTTATTATCAGCATTCATTGGAAAGTACACTGCAATTATTGATAGCATATGGACATTCATTTTCATATGTACTCAATAATACTCTACATACCAATTCATATTTTAGCTCTTTTGTTCCTAATTAAAGCTCTATCTTTACTTCTGTACAACCAGCCATTAATTCTTCCTCTATGTCCTTCCTCTTTCTCTTAGTTTCACAACTTGTGTTCAGTGACACAAAGTATCTATTTTTGTTATAATTTGATACATTCATTCAGAGATACAAAATATTTTTTTTATAATTTGATACATTATTTCATGCTCTTCTTACAGAATGGCCAAATCCCTATTATATGCTGCCCAAATGTTAATTAAGACCAGTGCAAAACAATAAGTGAAACAATAAGTTATGCTTACTCACATCAATGCCATAGTCAACAAACTTAAGTGACTTTCCTAGTTGTGACGTCAAATTATAAATTACCTCCACCTAGTTTTCAGTTTATTTTGGTGCCACCTCACACTTTGGAGATATCTTTTATTATAAAAATGTTTTTATTATTGGATTTTATAGTAATTAAGTCACTTTGAACAATGTGTTTGTTCAGATGTATTTGTTCCATATTATTTACTGTACTGGAATGTATTAACAGATACTGATCAAAGTTAAAAACTGTAAATAAAACTTCTATTATTCCACTATTTTTATTTTTCAGAAACCGTTCTGACAACCTCTTCAGGATCTGAAGGTTGATTGTTTGAAATAGGAACTTGTAAAAGGTTGCCTTTTATTTGCTCCTCGTTTGAAGCAATAAAACTATCCGAATGTATTACAATGCTAAACGGATGAATGCATACGACGCAATAAAACACATCCACATTTCCAGGACGAACCTTTCCCAAGCATATTAATTTCGAAATGAATATAAACTTTGATGGGATTATCCTCCCTAATTGCCTCTCACTAAGTCCCTCACGCTCTTCGCGCCTCCGAAGGGAGTGAGCGGTCGTCGACCTCATCCAGAGAATAGGGCTCCTTTCAACGGGCTGGGCGGCGCCCCCTCGCGGTCCCCACTGGAACGATTCTAAGGTTTCGTTCAAAAACGCTCCCTAACTTGAACTTCCAGGATAAAATTCGGGCGAAAATTAACGTCAGCGGGAGTGAAAGTGCCGGGAGGAGCGAGAAGAGCGGCGCTTAAGGAGAAAAGAGCCCGAGGACGATTACATGAAGTTCGCCGGGGCCTAAGAAAATGGAGGAGAAAGGGGGGGGGGGGGGGGAGAAGGAACCGCAAGAGGCAAAGGAGGCGGCGACCGCCCGGTGCCCTCCCACCTTGGGAAAGGCGCTTGAAGGGGTGTGTCCCGGCCCGCAAAATATGTACGCGCCCTCACCTGGCGGCTACTACCCTCCCTGGTAGTTGGATACTGAGAGCGGGAGTCCTCGGAGACAAAAAGGGAGCGTAGAGCTCAACAGCGAGACGAACTAACCGCTTTTAGCGACGGTTACAGACGGGAGGCCACGGCGACGTTCCAAATCCCTCCCCCCAGTCCTGCTGGGAGGCGCGAAGGCCGAGGCGCCAACCGCTGCCATTGGGCAAGGCAAAGCGTTTGAATCGCTCTTAGTGCTCACTGATTGGTTGCAAGTCGGTGGCGCGTTCCTCCCTCTCATCCCGCCGAGTTTCGCACCGGTTGTGCCTCCGGTTTAGCCAATGACATCGTTCACTCGAGGGAAATAAACAAGGAAGCCTCTGTGGCTGAAGCGGGTGCTTGCGCCTCCTCGGTTGGCCGAGCGCGTTAAAGACAATAAACGAGTCCCCTTGTTTCTGTCGCCGCCGATCCGAGGACATGCAGGGATCGCGGAGGATCAGAGTACAAACTGAGAGCAGATAACGGTGAAAGGTTCCGCTTTTTATTCGCAGGGTGTGCTCAACCGAAGACCCAATGGAAGCGGAATGTGTGAATTCAGAAACTGATTTATTTTTGCGGGTAGGCAGGGAATCGTGATTAATTCTGAAAATGTTGTAAAGCAAGTCTTGTGGGATGCATGAATGCCGTTGGGACACATGCGAACACGGCCACTGTGACTTTACCAATCGTGATTTTTAAAATCTGGTGTAGCGTTTTATTTAAATGTAGCCAGGGGTCCCCAAACTTGACAACTTGAGTTGAAGTCCACAAGTCTTAAAGTTGCCAAGTTTGGAGACCTAATGAGACCCAGTTTGGTGCAGGGATTAAGGCATTAGGCTAAAAACCTGGAGACTGATCCAAAGCCAGTTAGGTGACTTTAGACCAGTTCCCACACACTCTCAGCCGTAGGAGGAAGATATTGACCAACAGTTTCTAAAACACTTTGTCAAGAAAATTGGAGTACTTTTTCGGGCAAGAGTCAGTACACACTTGAAAGAACTTTAAGGCTGGCATGCTTTCTTGTGGTATGGGAAAAGTAAGATACGTGGTTATTTTCAAAGATCTCACATAAGGTACGCACTGTTGTTAGTATGGGAGAAAACTAGAGAACAATACTATTTGATACTATGTTATTAAAATGGGAAAGATATTTTGAATGAAAAGGGAGAGCTCAAAACTAAACAAGAACTGAGACTTCTCCGAAAACAACAACTGAATGAAAAACTGCTGATGACCACTGCACCATAGAGAGCATTTTAACTTACTGCACCTCTGTATACAGTTTGCCAATTGCACAGTGGCAGATAGGAAAGCACTCCAGAGGGTTAACATCATTGCCCAGAAGATCATTGGTTGCCCTCTCCCCTCTTTGGATGAGCTTTATAGCTCCCGCTGCCTTAAGAAAGTTCAAAACATTCTCAAAGAACCATCTCATCCTGGGCACCCTTTTTTGAATTATTGCCATCTGGCAGACTGTACAGAATAATAAAAACAAGGACAAATAGGCTGAAAAACAGCTTCTATCCCAGGGCAGTAGTTCTTTTGAATTCTGCTGTATAGTGCAGCAGTGTTATTGCAGTCTCGGGGGTTTTGGGTTCAATGTGTGGAGGGTGAAGGATGTGTGTTTGTGTTTATTTTCATGGTCATGATGTGTGCTGAAGATGGTGTTTGACTTAGTTGTACGAGATACAGTGACAATAAAGTAAACTAAATTAACAATGTCAATTGCATGTAAAGAAAATTTGTACATGATGTTTTATAGATGGCACTTTGCACCGGCGAGATTGGCAAAGTTGTTTAAAGATAAGTCAGCTAAATGTTGGAAGTGCTACCAGATACCTGGGTCTTTTTATCATATGTGGTGGACTTGCATAGAAGCAAACAAATATTGGACAAAAATACATATGTGGCTGGAAAAGATGATAAACCAGAAATATTTTTGTTGCGGATCTTACCTGAAACTTACAGTAAAGGGAATGCATACTGGAAAAGTGAAGAGATTCCTACTGATGAGAATGTGATTAGGAAAATATTAGAATGTGCAGAGATGAACAGATTAACACTAGCAATTAAGGAGAAAGAACAAACTGAATATTATATGACATGGGTATTATTTTATGGATGGTTAGAGAAAAAAAAATGGAAGTTAGAAATAAAAGACCAGTGAAATATAGAAAATATGTTAAGCTAGACTTATAAACAATATGATGACTGTTATGGCTATTAGGATTATTATGTTTAATATCATATTCTTATTAGAATACATGTTAAGAGGGAGAAATGAATAGGTTTATTATGTACAATATTATTATTGTAAGATTAGAAAATCAATATGAATTTAATTAATACTGTTATATATTTTGATTCTAATTGCACAGAGACATTTGTATCCAGACGACACACTGTTTAATGGAAGATGGAATGCTTATATTAAAAAAAAACTTTTTTTAAAAAAAACTGAACCTTCCTTCTGAAACTGTTTAGTAGGAAGCATAACTGAAAACTATACAACCTAATTCCAAATGAAAAAAATACTGGCCCAAAATTTAGATCAACAAAAATTATGCAGTATTGCAATAGTCATAGCTGATATTTCAAAAGCTCTTGAAGACCAAGTTGTTTCAGAGAGCCTTCTCCGGTTTACTTTTGCCATCTTTATGGTCCTTTTTAATATGATTATTTAAAATTGTACTTTGTAAGTTTTCAAGAGTCTTTGAGATGCCTAGGAAATATTTAATAAATAAACAGAAATTAGAACTAGGTAAGATTCTATGCTGGGTGTATGGTGTGCTTACTCTTCTGTGTACAGAAAACAACAGGAGTAGCAGCTGAACCTTTTAGCAACAGTGATAAGTTAATATACCTTATGGAGACCTGTCAAACTGGTGGCCCACGGGCCAGATACGTCACACACAGGCCATGCCGACCCTGGCTCCGCAAGGGGAAAAAAACGTCGCAATACGTCACAATCTGGCCTGTGACAAGATGAAGTTTGACACTCTTGCCAATCTATAGTATCTCACACGTTGTCCAATCATTCAGCAGAGGATGCCCAGAGAATGCAAAAGGAATAGTTGGGAGGTTTCCACTGCTGCCCCAGGCAATTGCTCTATGAAGCAATACTTCACTTTGCTCCAAGAACAAGTTTAACTTAAATGACTTCCACAAATGATTTTTATATATTGCAGAATTACTAGGGTTGACAATGGTGGAAAGATTAGAAGGGGAGCCTGTTCGCTTAAGTATTTTATAGTCCTCAGGAGCATCTGTGCTGGCATGAGTTTCTACATGTTTTCAATAAAAAGTGTAGCAGGTCAACTTCTGGTTAGAGCAACTTTACCTCAGCAATGTCTGGAATTTAATTTCTTAATAAACTTGCACTAAACCAGCAAAGCACAGAAAAGCAATATTTGTTTATATATGTTATTGCATTTTTGTGAATTTAGGAGAGTTGGAAATTATCATATTTGAGCTCATCCAAAAACATTCTTGACTAACAAGCTACAATGATATTTTTCATGTATTTGTAAGAAAAATAACTTGGCATAAAATTATCCCCCAAACTCAGCTGAAGATGTTACCTAGCTTGGTAACGAAATGTTCAGAAACCAACCCATAAGCTCGGAGAACGAACCTTCACCCTCATTCTATACCTGAGCTACAGATATTTGCCACTAATTGCAAATAAAATTATTGCAAAAGAAATGTAAGAGTGTATTTAAACGTCTTGGATATTCTGCTTTAAAGTTCTCTCACAGGTACTGGGAGTGAAAATTTGATTTTTATATTTCAAGGAAACATCCATAAGAATATGGAATATAGAAATAATCAGTTTCAGCAAAATGACAAATGAAATGATGTAATGCAAGCTCTGTTCCTTATGTACATGTATGCAATGTCTTGATGCACATACATAGTGAAGTAGTCCTCAACATATGACTATTTGTTCAACAGTTTGAAGTTATGGTAGTATTGAACAAAGGGAATTATCATTCATGCCCAAAGTTACAGCTGTTGCAATTCCCCCAATCTGACATGATCAAAATTGCAACCTGCTCATTCTTACGACCACAACAGTGGTTAAATTCCACCACCTGGCTGTCTACCCCCCACCCCCACGCCTTTTGGCTCTGCTGCCGTGTCCTCCGCCATCCCAGCAGACTTTTGAGATCTTGCTCCTGAGGCATGCCTGGCTTGGCCTGGCCTGGCCCTTCATGCAAAGAAGGCCTGCTACATAAGTCTGCGGTTGCTTCTTGCTTACTTTCTTCTGCCCAGACCCATCTTGGGGCACCATAAGAAGCAGAAACCATCAAATAAGAAGCATCAGTACTGTTACATCAAAAAGTGGGGTGCTTTTTACTCTTTTTTTTTTTTTTGCAACATGAAGTCCAGCCAAGATTTTTTTGCAGCATCAGTCCAGCAATGGGAGTAAGAGGACTGTAAAATCAGCCGAGGCAGCGGGACAGCAGGGTCTCAGAGTGCAGTGTAGCAAGGGCAGATATGGCTGGGACTGGACTGGGGTAACTGCATTCTTTCTGGAGTATGGCAAGCAGCCCTAGAGTTGTGCAGATCTGGATCTGCTTGCTGTCCCAGAAGGCAGGGTGCAACATGGCGAGAAGGCAGGAGATACGTCAGTGGGGAAGTTGGAGGCAGCCCCTTACTTTTTACTGAGGTTCAATGCTAGGAGAGACCAAGCCTGGAATTGCTTGGATTGGAACGGGTATTTGCTTAACAACCCAAAATTCATGGTTAACAACAGCAACCAAAAATGACAGGATTGCCACTGTTAAGTGCTGCAGTCATGTGACATCTTGCTCTCATTGCTTAGCAATGGAAATTCAGGATCTAACTGTGGTCATAAATTGAGGACTACCAGTATGATACAAACTTATCAGAACTTGTGCTATGATGGTATTTGCTCCCCATGTCCCCACCAGCAGATGCCAATGTAGACGGAGGTGTTTGTATAATAAAACTTCTAGACAGGTAGTCCTCGAGCTACAACCACAACTGAGCCCAAAATTTCTGTTGCTAAGTGAGACATTTGTTAAGTGAGTTTTGTCCCATTTTATTGTCTTTTTTGCCAACGTTGTTAAGTGAATCACTGCAGTTGTTCAGTAAGTAATAAGGTTGTGAAGTGAAT